GGACTGGCCCCTTCTCCTTCCCCTGTGTCGGGGGGATTGCTGGACTCGGAGGACAGACAAGCAGAGGAAGACAGGCAGACAGACTGTCAGGTGGGTCCCTTCTTCTCTGAGTCCCCAGGCTCCCCCCACCCCAACCATGCACCTCCCCTCTTTCTCTCCCCCACAGAAGACTGCTGCATCTGGCGCCCCCCAGGATGTGACCTACGCCCAGCTGAACCGCTTGACCCTCCGACGAGAGACAAGTGCATCCCCTCCCTCCCAATCAGGGGAGCTCCCAGCAGAGCCCAGCGTGTATGCTGCTCTGGCCATCCACTAGCCCAGGAAGGACCCAGACCCCACACTCCAGGGAAGGGGACCGCAGAGACCCTGGGAGGCACAGGAGCTGCCCACAGTGGGTGCCATCTAATGACCCCAGCCAACCTGGACTCCTCACGCAGACCAGTAGGAACTCCCGGGACCCTCCGGGAGTCGCCTGATTCTGCCATCAAAGATAGTACTATCTCTATACTCTGGAAACTAAAGCGATGGATTTCTCAATAATCCATGAATGAAATGAGAAAAACAAAATGGAAATGAGAGAATGTTTACACTGAAGGACAATGTAAATGTTACACATCAAACCTATGAAATGGGAAAATTAAGAACCAAGTCAATGATCCAAGCTATCATACCATGAATTTAAAAAAAGAATAGCAAATTATTCGAAATGAAGGTAGAAGGAGGGAAATACAGTGATAAGAGAAGCTACTAATGAGGTCAAACAAAAAATAAAGAAGAATCTAAAGCTCAAAAGGGTCATTTTTGTAAATATTAATCCCATGTATAAATCCTAGCCACAATGGCCAAGAAACAGAGAGAGAGAGAGAGAAAGAGAAGGCGCACATCACATCACATCACCATTTAGAGCAGTATCACATCCTACAGACTTTAAATCGATAACAGAGTTTATTATGTTCACTTTTATTAGTTATATTATGAACAATTTTATGCCAAAATATTAGAAAATGTAGATAAAACTGACAAAATCCTCAAAAATACAGGTTACCAAAATGATGGACGTAGGGATAAATAGAAAATCTGAATGCTGTATGTGTAAAACATGGTGAATATGCAATTAAAGTTTTTCCCACAAAGTGAACTGAATCTGGAAAGTTTCACTGGTGAATGCCTCCAAATACTGATGCACTTGTGAAATACACACACACATGGACAATGGACACACCTACCTACACACAAACACGTGAACACACAGATACTCCTACACACATGGACATGTGAGCACACGGACACACATACATGCACATGAACACGCGAACACACATGCACATGGACACGCCTGTACATCTATAAACATGTGAGCACACATGAACACGTGGACGCACATACACACAAACATGTAAACACGCATGGGACATGTGGACACTCCTATGCACATGAACATGTGAACACATGAGAAATACAGACACATGCATGTGAACACACATGCACATGGACACACCTGCACGCCTGAACACATGGACACACACGAACACGTGGACACACACACAAACATGTGAACACACATGGACCTGTGGACATGCCTACACACATGAACATGTGAGCGCACACATGAACACACATGCACATACACATACCAAACTTACACAGGCTTCCCCTGAGAATAGAGAAAGAAGGAATACTTCCCTAGCACATTTTATCAGGCCAGAAAAACAAAAATTGACATGAAAACTTGACAAGAAGAACCAACCAGTTAAGTAAAGGGAAAAAAAAGTGATAAGCACTAAATGGATAAAATAGGGATTCCAGCCTGGTTATTTCCACCGGGACCCCCACAGCTGATGAGGTTGGATGTTGTAAGTGCCCGATTTGATGTTACTTTGTCTAATTCTCATTTGTTGCCTACTATTACCTACATCTATGTGTAGATTCCTTTTCTCTTCTATTAGGTTTCCATAATAATAAAGTTTTCTTTCTTTTTTGAAACTGAAAAAATAAACAAACGAACAAATAAATAAATAAAATGGTTTTGATTATTCATGGATCCCAAAATTGTATGCATGGACTATCCCAAATAATGTAAAGACCTATTACTCTAATCTCAAAAGGATTTATGCCATGTCACTGGAAACATCATCAATATACAAAAATCAATTGCATTTCAGAGGTCCAGTTTGGGGCCAAGAGGAAGTGGATGTATGTTTTCCCTATGGACCCCCATAAATCACAGCTGAAACTCCCACACTATAAACAAGAAACATAAGAGTACTCCAGAAAGTGGAGTGAAGGCAGCCGCCAGGCTAAGACCATGAAGACCCCACGTGTCACAGGAGGGCACGTGGGGCATCTGGACTGTATGCCTTCCACCTGGCAGTAATAAGTCAGCACCCCAGCAACGTGCCAGAAGAGGCCCCTGCAACAGAAGATTTCAATAAGATCCAGACCCTCCAAACATCATATCCAACTGACCAGGTTTCCATAAAAAAAGTGATTCATCATAACAAGAACCAGGAAAATCTGTGGAGTGAGAAAGATGCTAACTCTCAGATGATGCAGGTGCCCGGACAAGGACTCAAAGGCCAATGTAATGGAAATGCTGTGAGGAGCCATCACACAGACATGCTTCAGATACATCTAAAAATAAATAGAAAATCTCAGCAAAGAAATAGGAGATATATAAAGAAGAGCAAAGATGGAGATTTTAGATGGGAAAAAATACAGAAATCAAAATAAAAGTCCCCGTGGATGGAAGGGCTCGTGGCCGAGTGGAGAGCACAGAGGAGGTGATGAAGGAGGAACGATAAAAAGTACTCGGTCTTAACGATGGAAGGGAATACACTGGGGAAGGAGATGAATCGTGGGACTGTTAACAGATCTACCCTCCACACGATCACAGTCCCAGAAACGGACAAGAGAACAGGACCAAAAAACAATTCAAGAAATAATACCTGAGGGACACCTGGCTGGCTTCGTTGAAAGAGCGTGCAACTCTTGATCTCAGGGCTGTGAGTTCGAGCCCAATGTTGGGTGTAGAGATTATTTAAAAATAAAATCTTAAAAAGAAGGAGGAGGATGAAGAGGAGGGGAAGGAGGAGAAGAGGAGGAGGAGAAGAAGAAGGGGAGGAGGAAGGAGAAGAAGAAGAAGGGGAGGAGGAAGAATGAGAAGAAGGAGAAGGAGAAGAAGGAGGAGGAGGAGAAAGGAGGAGAAGAAGGGGAGGAGAAAGGAGGAGGAGAAGGGGAGGAGGAAGGAGGAGAGGAGGAGGAAGGAGGAGAAGAAGAAGAAGGAGGAGAAGGAGAAGGGGAGGAGGAAGGAGGAGAAGGAGAAGAGGAGGAGGAAGGAGGAGAAGAAGAAGAAGGAGGAGAAGAAGGGGAGGAGGAAGGAGGAGAAGAAGGAGAGGGAGAAGAAGAAGGAGGAGGAGGAAGAGGAGGAGGAGGAAGAAGGAGAAGAAGAGAGAAATACTGTCTAAAATTCCTCCACATTTGTCAATGGTCATTTGTGAAAACTCAGTGAACCCCAAACAGGATAAGCCCGAAGAAACCCATGTCAAGGTTTTAAACATTGAGGCAGTGAAAGCAAACATACACCAATTATCATCTGATGATGTTTGCATATTCTGTCAATCTACTAACATTTTAAGATATAAGGATAAAGTTTTACTTTAATTCCTTTATGGAAAAAAGTAAAATTTACTTTAACTAAAGTTTTACTTTAATTCCCCAGAGCTCACAAAGTGCTGGGAGATGTTTGAATTCCATGCAGTTGAGGCATGTTTCATTTTATCCCACTTCACTTTTGGGCACTCCACAGATACTGAGTTATTCACAAACCAAAGGATTGTGCCAACCCTGCGTCCAGCAACTCTATCGGTGCCGTGTTTCCAACAACTTTTGCTTACTTCGTGTCTCTGGGTCACATTTGGGTAATTATCCCAACATTTCAAGCTTTATCATCATCATCACATCTGTGGTGGTAATCTGTGATCAGTGATCTTTGATGTCACCATCGTCATTGTTTGGGGGCACCACAAACCACAGCCACATAAGATGGCAAACTTAATCAATAAATGTGTGTGTTCTCACACAGACCGGCCGTTCCCCGTCTCTCTCCCTCTCCTCAGGCCTCCCTGTTCCCTGAGACACAGCAGTATGGAGCTGAGGCCAGTTAATACCCCTCCAGTGGCCTGCAAGCGTCCAAGTGAAAGAAGAGTTGCACGTCTCTCACTCTAAATCAAAAGCTAGAAGTGACTAAGCTTAGGGAGGAAGGCGTGTCGAAGGCCGACAAAGGCGCAAGGCTAGGTCTGTTGTGCCGAACAGCCCAGCTGTAAATGCGAAGGAAGTGTTTGTGAAGGATATTGAAAGAGCTCATCCAGAGCAAGGCCCTGCCTCCCTTCAATTCTGTGAAGGCCGAGAGAGGCGTGGAGGCTGCGGGCCAGTTTGAAGCCGGCAGAGGCGGTTCAGGAGGTGGAAGGAAAGAAGCCATCTGCGTGAGAGTGCAAGTGAAGCAGCCAAAGCTGATGTAGAAGCTGCCGCAAGTTACCCAGAGCTAGCTAAGGTCATCCGTGAAGGTGGCTACACTAGACACAGATTTCCAGCGTAGACAAAGCAGCCTCCTACTGGCAGACGATGCCGTGTAGGACTCTCATCCCTAGAGACAAGTCAGTGCCTGGCTTCAAAGCCTCAGAGGACAGGCTGACTCCTGTTAGGGGCTAAGGCAGCTGTTGCCTTCAAGGGGGAGCCCGTGGTCAGTGACCATTCTGAGACTCCTCGGGCCCTTGAGACTGATGCTAAAGCTCCTCCCCCTGGGCTCCATAAACGCAACAGCAAAGCCTGGGAGACAGCACATCGCTTTACAACATGGTTACTGAATATTTTAAGCCACACTTGAGACCTACGGCTCAGAAGAAAAAAAAAAATCCTTCCAAAATACTACTGCTCCCTGACAATGCACCTGCTGACCCAGGAGCCAGAGCTCCTGGGATGTTCAACGAGATTAATGCCGTGTTCCGGCCTGTAATACAACACCCATCCTGACAATGCACCTGGTGACCAGGAGCTCTGATGGGATGTTCAACGAGATTAATGCCGTGGTTGGGCCTTTAACACAACACCCATCCTGACAATGCACCTGGTGACCCAGGAGCTCTGATGGGATGCTCAACGAGATTAATGCCGTGTTCAGGCCTGTAACACAACAGCCATCCTGACAATG